AAGTTGTCTGTATATGTATATATATATAGCCCTGTCACATACAGAACATAGTCATTAATGAAAGTGTTTGGGGAGAAATGTGTGCCATACAAATTAATCAGAAAAGGTAATCCAGAAATGTTCAAGAGGCTGCTGATCTACAAAGTCTGGCAGCCCCAAAGAGCCATTGCCATTGGTGAAAGATTTTGGGAGCCCTAGTTATCAACTCATAGAGGGCACAATTTCCCGCTGAGTCCTCTTATGTCTTGGTCTTAAAACTGATGAACCTGGGTAGCACTGAATCTGTGGAAAGTTTATTGACAGCCCTAGGCCCTAGAATGAACTGAATGGCACTGTTTATGAGGGAAGAAGGCTCCTCTTCTGCTCTGAACTATTTGACTTGTCTATCTTGTGATGGCCAGGAAGCCAAAGCAAATGCATCATATTACATTTAAGAAATTTTGAAATATTGATAGCATAGTGCAAATATGTATATGTATTGTGGAGTGTCACAATGTAACATGCAAGAAGAGGAATGACTTGGGAGACAAAGGAAAATCATGAACAATGAGGGACAATGTCTAAACCAGTGGTTCTCAACCTGTGGGTCGCGACCCCTTTTGGGGTCAAACAACCATTTCACAGGGGTCGCCAAAGTCCTGAAGTTTTTCCTCATAGAATCCTTATGAAACGCAGTCCGGCATTTTTTTTCATGAGCTGTGCTACTCCCTCTTATTCTATTGGCTTTTGAAAGCCAATAGAATAGACTCTATTCAAGAGAGTCTATTCTATTGGTGTTCGAAAGCCAATAGATTCTATTGGCTTTCGAATGCCAATAGAATAGATTCTCTTGAATAGCGTCTAATTCTATTGGCTTTCAAAAGCCAATAGGAATTGTCCAGGCTGTCTCTGCCCTGTTGAGCCCGCCAAAAGCCCCAGTCGGCAAACATTGCTGCAAGTTGTCTGCAGCTAAGGCGAGCTTTCTGGAAGTTTCCACCCCTCCCTGCTGAGCAACTACTAAATGTAAGTAAAAGAGGACCAGGGGTGGGAGGGCCAAGGTGAGGCTAGCGGGGCAGCGGCGGGCGCTGGGAGGGTAGCTGGCGGCGTGGGGCCCGGCGGGTGGCTTACCTCCCTTGGGCTGGGCCAGCTGGTGGCCCAGCCGGTGGTTGGCCTGCGCCGTCGCTGCCGCTTGCCATGGCCGCCCAGAAGCACCTGGGCCTGCCTGCCACCGCACCGAACAGGCGGTGGCCAAGGTGAGGCTAGCGGGGCAGCGGCGGGCGCTGGCAAGGTAGCTTGGCATCTTTCAGGTCCTCTTGCCTGGCTTCCGTCTGCGAGAAGCGCAGGGCCAAGGTAAAAAAAAAAGCCTGGTGAAATACTCCCAAGGGGTAGCGTCGATCTGTAGCGGGAGGTGAAGGGGGCGGGTGGGTGGGGGTCGACCAGAAGGGAACCGGGTCTGATAAGGGCAAAAGTTGAGTGAGGTTTTCCCCCTCACCCCTCTCTCCGCCTCCCTTTGTGAAGCGGCGTCTCTGGCTGCTGCCTTCCCAGTCGCCGAGAAAGGGGGAAAAAAGAGCCGTGAGCAAGTTCCCCTTTCTGCCTCATTGCTGAAAGCATTTTTTTTAAACGACCGCTCGTTCAGAACTCCTTGAGGCTTGTTTGCACGAGCTTGTGGCAGGTCAGTAAATAAAGGGGTGGGTGAGCCAAACCGTCCAAGGCGTTTGCACCCTGAACGTGTGGAGGCTGCTTTCATGACTTGCCACCACCACCTCCTCTCTTCCCGCCTGCTCAGGCAACGTGCTGCTGCTGCTGCTGCTGCTGGCTGAGCTGAGCTGAGCTGCGGCACCGAGCCGGTCCCCACGCCTCCTAGTTGCCCGGCCGCCCTCTGCGCCACGCCGGAGCCTCCCCGTGCCGCCCGGCCCGCCTCCCTCACCGTCGGAGGGCATCTGTGTGTGTCTCCAGACCTTACTGGACTACCATCCCCAGCAGCCCTAGAAAGCACTGTGGAAGAGTGGGGAATGCTGGGAGTTGCAGTTCATCACCATCTGAAAAAACATGACTCTCCAAAGATCAATCCTTCCTTCCTTCCCCCTTCAATCTCCTTCCTTCTCCATCTCCTTCCTTTCCCCTTCAATCTTCCTTCCTTCATTCCTTCCTTCCTTTCCCCTTCAATCTCCTTCCTTCTCCATCTCCTTCCTTTCCCCTTCAATCTTCCTTCCTTCCTTCCTTCCTTCCTTCCNCATATCAGATATTTACATTACTATTCATAACAGTAGCAAAATTACAGTTATGAAGTAGCAACGTAAATAATTTTATGGTTGGGGGTCACCACAACATGAGGAACTGTATTAAAGGGTCGCGGCATTAGGAAGGTTGAGAACCACTGGTCTAAACTATTATATAATAAAATTTTAGCTTACAGCGTACTCTGCAATCTGTGGTAAAAATCCAATAAGAAAGAACTCACTGGAGCAAATGAATTAGACCTAGCAGCTGCCATAATAGTCTTTTTTATTAACCTTGCTTATTTTTTAATTGTTGGGCATGTTATGCAAACTTAGCTCATGTGGTTCTTGATTATACTATGCAAGCAACAAGGTGAAGTTGTTGTATGACTAAATCTACTCTGTTTTGTTTCTCCAGCTTATCCAACCAACTCTTTTGGCTTTTCATTTTCTCATTCTATAGGTCAGAGGCCAAAAGAACTATGGCCTATGATTTGGAAATAAACATTAAGTTTAAGAACAGCTGAGGGCCAGGATGGTAATGGTGGAGCCTAACTTGGTACTAGTTAGCTACATGGGAAAAGGGAGACATCAATCATTTTCTTGTTTCTACAATTAAAATAATTCCTTTGAATGTGCCATTAAATACTATATTGTTAAACCTACTTAATAAAAATACACATACTTTTCCCCTTCCAGAGAGACCTTTCATAGACAAATAAATCTTTGCCATTGGTTCTGGGTCATTTCATTTATTCCCTCCTCCACAGATTCCACCAAAACTCTTTTTAAAAGGGAAGTGGGTTCATAGTGTTGAAAGAAAAATATTCATCAGGGTCCAGTCCAAGTTGGGAATAACCAAAATGAAGACTGCTTTAGAAAGAAGGTTGCAGTTTATTGAAGAGGAGAGCCAGACAGAAAGATGACTCTGGGAAAACTGACCACCTGTAGCAGAGAGTGGTGGGTTTTTATACCTTCTGGGCCTCTTGAGGTTGTTTCATGTTCCTGTTAGAGGCTTTATATTTCCTGTGTCATGTACTTTGACCTGAGTCTGACCAGACCTTTTGGTACTGGTGGATTAATCCTATTATGTCTCCTGTCCTTAGAATATCGGTGGGGGTATATAGATTTTAGGTTTCTTTGTCTTCCTAATAGCTTCCTGGCTCCAACCTTCCTGAATGGATTATTACATCTGCATTTCTAAAAGCTGGCCTCTGCCTAGTTTCTGCTTGGAGAGAGATGCTGGGGCTGGTTTTGGGGGGCTGGCTTCTGTCTTTTTTTTTTTTTTAAGATCTTCTCCATTATTCCTTTGGGGAAATACATTCTGCCTTTTTAATATTCCCCAAAATATTTCTTTCTCTGGATTCTTCCCACAATAGGTTTTGAGTACCATGCACAGTATGTTTTGAGAGGCTATCTTTCTGAAGAATTAGGTTTGTCACGAGCAGGATAGAATCCTGAGTTTTTATCTTTGCATGTTTATTCATACACATATTTTGAGAGTCCCCGGCTGATTCTAATGAAGAATATAGTGCATGATAGATTTTTCATTACCAATCCAGACATAATTAATCTAGAAAAATGCACTGAAGACAACAAGCAAGCACTTTTTAGCTGTGTATTGAGTGAACTTAGTCTTAGAAACAAGCAATTTAAGAATCAGTTCGCAAAACCATACTGTTACCCTGCTGGACTATTTCTATTCTATTTTATGATGTGTGTGGTAGAATAAGCAGTGGCAATTGTTTCCTCTTAAAGAAATTGGTATAAATTTTAAAAAGTATTTCAGATATAATCTTGGAATTTTATATTTTAGATTTTCTGACAATAAAAAATGTAGCCTTTTAATTGTTTCCCAAAATTTTGGTCAAAGTAGTAAAAAGATCCACCTCAAAAATGCTTTATAACTCTCTTTTATCATCAGATAAAAAAAAAATGACTGTCTGCTCAGACTACGGTAGATTAGTTAAACTGTATGAAGGTTTTCTTTGCTTTCTCAAGAGATCCTGAATAGATCGGGAAACTTCATCAGATGTTATTTCCCAGACTCTTCATTAAATCACAATTCTAGTTCCTGGCCTCCAAATGATAGGACATATGAAATAGAGCTCTTTTGTATAAATTGCGATATCTAAGAATGATAAAGGCAGGAAAGGCTGAATGTCTCTTAAAATCTTTGCAGCTGTCTAGTAGGGTGGAATCTCAAAGGTGAGGCTGGATTGGAAAGTTTAAAAGACCATCCCAACAAAAGGCAATGGTAAAGCATGTTTGCATTGTTGCCAAGAAAATTGGAAGCTTGTGCCCACAAAGTCACCAGGAGTTAAGCTCAATAGAAGACAGTTGTACACCAAATATTTCTGTGGACAAATTACTGTCATGAATCAAAGCACTATGATTATTCTTAATAGTATTTTTGCTATAGTATGGCAAGTGCTAAATTTATATCCAGTATATCACGCAGTATGATATGATCTGCAGGACCCTTGATTTCCTATTTCCCCAGTTCTTTGGGGTTAAGCAGAGAAAGGGCATCTTTGCAATAGGGACTCCAGCAGATCAATTCAAAATATTTTTTTTGTTTTCTAAAAAAATACCAGTATTACAGCTACAGAGATTTGTGTTCTCTTTATCTACAATCTAAATTAGCTTTTTAATGGAGTCAACATTATTTAAATAGTCTGAGCAGACATATATTTTCATTATAAACAACTTTTTCTGTAGCAAACTTTTTCTAACAAAGTCTAACCTTTGTTGTAGATATTACCAAATTGATGGATTGCTTTTTTTTAAATTACAGGGTTGTTCTGGCTGTGGAAAATGTGACTGCAGTGGAGTGAAGGGGCAAAAAGTAAGTATTCTGTATTTACAGTATTTTTCCTTCCTGTGTTTTTGTCAATTTTGAATAAATCAGGATCAATGAATTTTAATACTACCAGGACACCCAATTCGGGAGGGGAGATAATATTTAGCTATGTGGAAGTAAAAATTGGACATAACATAGGGGACCAAAGATTGAAGATAAAAGCCGTGATAAATGACTGGGCTGCCTGAGGAATTACCTCTCTCCCTCCTCTTTCCACCAACAAACATTTGAAGTAAAGTTTTGCAATGACCTCTGAAATGACTTGCTTTTGAATGCCTGGAAAATATATAAGAACAGGGTTTTTCTAATATTATATCCACAAGCCTGAGAAACTTTATATTACAAATCTCAATTTTAATGGTTTTAGGAAGGACATTCTTTGTAGGATCATATCCACTTTATCCCTCTGGGAAAACAGTTTTAGGAAACCTCATACTTCCTTATGGACATTTTACTAAAAACCCTCGCCCATTTATAGAAATGCAAAAAACAAACATTAATACTGACGTTTAAACTGTTTATTAATAAAATTAAGCAGTTGGCTGAAAAGTCCTATCAAGTTCACTGAACCAGAGCTATTATTTGAATAAGACATATATCAGTATTGTTTAATAAATATTCTGTAAATCATATATCTTAAATTTTAGAGTATTTTATGTTCGTTTCTGTGAACAACTAATTCAAATCTTTGAATGCATGGAGGGATGGCAGAAAAGAAAGTTATTTTTAATGCAGGAGGTACAGAGATTGTAACCTTGAAATCTGAAGTTCTTGAGCCTTGGTCAAAAAATAGAGAAAGGCTTAATGGAGTCCAAAGATTCCACTCACTGACTTCCTTAGTATTAATTGTGCCCCACCCTATAGTGGTTGCTAAAGACACAGTCGAAAGGCAAAGTGTATAAAGGCAAGGTGCAGCAGGATCACTAAATCATCAAAGATGGGCTCAGCAGATTTTGGCAAAGCCACGTGTTAAGCTAGGCCTGTCTCACAGATTTCTAGGATTAGCCTAGAATCTCGTGGAAAATGGCAAATGGTATGATAGAACTTTCCTCTATCCCCATAAAGGTGAATATGTAAATCTGTGGATAAATATTTCTGAAAAGTAATTTAAATTGTGACTGGCTGAAATGGAATGGAGATTATAGCATTTGGCCTTGATCTAGACATGGAGTTCTTAAGAAACTGCCTTATGTTGAATCAGAGTATCAGTATGTCTGGACCAAGTTTGTCTATATTATACTGCCCGGCCATAGCTTTCACAGAGAAATTGTTCTTGATTCTACCTGCAAGGAACAATTGCATGCAAAACATGTTCTCTTGCATGCAGTTCTCCATACATATCCCCTTTTTCAGGATTGGGATCCTCTTCAGTTGTTGGTTTTTTTTTTTAAATTAGAAGCTATTTTATATCAATCGGTACTGAAGGAAGATCCCCCCCCTCTCTGATAGAAGAAGAAATCTGGAGGCAAGAAGAAAATTTAATCACAACAGTTTAAATCTTTCCAAAGTAGAAATAAGCCCTCCCCCCCCAAAAAAGAATTAATTAAATCACGAGTCCTTTTTAAATTAAAACAAACACTCTGTCTAGCTAATTTTCAGAACCCACAGCCTCAGATGAACCCAAGTGCAAACAAACAGCTACAAAGTATCAACTTGAAGAAACATTGAAGATAAGCTTAACCAAAGGAATGCAGGACCGGACCGGCAATTAAGACTGACAGTATTAGAACAGAAACACAGAAAAATACATAAAATTAATGAAACACATCAGATTCATTCCTGAGACAGGGATTAACTTTTAACCTTTTTCCTAAACAAGATTGGATAAAGAAACTAACCCATCAATAGACACTGGTCCACGAATCAGGAATGACAGTTTGAAAACTCAGAAATTCAACGAATCAAAATTGACAATTTTGAAAACCCTGGAAAGGTATAAAGACACACATTTGGAGACCACTCTTTCTAGCTAGCCAAGAAACTTTGCTGAATGTCACTCATCTTAGTTTCTTGCCATTAAAAGACTTCTTTCCGGCAGCTCTGCTTCAATTCAATTAATTCTCCAAAGCGCTGATCATTGCATCCCAGCTGGAAGAATCCCCAAGGGAGGGGCTCTTTCCTCTCCACAGTACTATGATAAAGACAACCATTTGATTAATGAGGAAAGGTAAAAGCACCCGTTTCCACTTCCTTTCTCTTAGTTTTTTAGATGCTAGTGTTTAGGTCAACAGTGCTTCAACAGGCACAATCTCTACTAAGAAGACAGAGATAAATTAATTTTAACATGTCAACTGTCTTAATTTTCAAGATTCAAAGTGAATAACATTCATGAGTTTACAAACAAAAGTCAGCAGGTATTTTTAATAGCTATTTTTTAAAATCTGATCATCAACAACTTCTTAATTTCAATTCACCCATTTTTTCTTTTCAGATTTGTATTAATTTGTATTAATTGTAGACAATTAATTTGTGATTTCCCAAATCCATTTTGTGATGACAACTACCACTTTTCTTCAAAAAGAAATACATCTGAGTTAGTACAATACAAACTAGATAATTACTAATAGAGGTAGAAGATGATTATGTGAATGCTTCATTAACTGCATTTTTCCCCAATCCATTTAAAGACCAAACTCAAAGTACAAATTCTGACACTTAAAACTCATAGAGCTATAACCTTTTAATATACATAATAGCAGCAGATTAGAGGTACAAAATTGGAACACTGGTGATTTTTTCTGTTTTGCATGAAGGAGACAATTTGATGAACAGGGATAATGTATCCAACAAACTGATGCTTGTTAATTTTTAAACCTCTGGTATTTCTGTTAAATCTAATCCATTAGGACATCGTCTGCCTACCATTTTTAAAAAACATGTCTAGCAGTAATAACAGCATAATGTTTGTTGTTGTGTTGCACACTTTAAGTTAGGTATAAATTAAATTTGTATTGTAAAAGCTTCTGTAGATACTAAATGACAAAACATGTTGCAGTAAAATAGAGTTTTTGTTGGTTTGTTTTAATTCCAATTTAGTCGAATGTGGGCCCTGAAAAAAGGAGGGTGGTAGCTCTGTAGGATTGTTGGGTTCCAATATTTGCACTCTTGCCTAAGACATCAGTCACGTCTCATAATGATTGGCCCTTATTGGACATGCAAAATCCAAAATCAAACATATTGTTTTCTAGCTCAGTGCAATAATAGTGTTAAATGTATTTTTGAACAAGATATTTTTTTCCTGTCTAAATGTCATTATCAAAACCCTACAAAATTTTGGGAAAGAACTATAATATGATACTTTAAGGGGCAGAATTTTATCAAAATGTTCTGAGCTGATATATTTTGGGGTGGGCAGAAAGTGTGATCCAACATAAACAGTAGCTGTTACTATTACAACAGGAAGAAATGTTTCTTTCATAAGAAAAATCTCTAGACATAATTATTTTCAGTGTGTCATTATGGGCTTAATAGTTAACCTACCCTCACATTTCTTTCACATCCATTTTGGCTAAAGAATTAACTCAAAGATCAACAACCTTTTCAAGTTTGGGATGGTATTACACGTGATTGGTATGAAAGTTTCCCATCCCTCATTTGAAAATGATTTCAAACATTTTTTTTTTTATTTTCAAACATTTATTTTGGGGAAATGCAGGAAATTTGCAGGCTAATAGATTAGAAGCTGCCCAGAGTAGATTATAAGATAGGTTGCCATATAAGTGTTTTAAATAAATAAAATGAATAAATAGTAGATAATTGATGTCCTAGCCTCAACATACTGTTTCTAACTAGACAAATTGCACAAAAATAAAACTGTTGTGGGAAGTGACATTAATGAAAACCAACAAAAAGTTTCACTCTTCTAGATCCATCTGAAATTTTTCTTAAGCAGAAGCAAAATAAGCAGGTTGTTTGTGTCTGAGAATGTAACTACATGGATGAATGTAATTATAGTATTCATATGGCATACTACAAAACCTACTCAGTAACACATAGTTTCATATTAACACAGCAAACTAAATCTGATACATTGATATTAGCTGAATAATAGCTTTAAATAATGTTGATATCATGCTGTCATTAAATTAACCCCCACCTTGCAAAAAGAACCTGGTGGCTTAAATCTAGCTTGCTCACCAGATGAGCTAGTATGAAAAAATATTTAAGAAAAATATTTTTATAACAATTCAGGCTACTCATTCATCCCACATATTTTAAAGAACATTTTAAAAGTGATGCTTTGTTCATTAATTTTGCAAGAAATTTTAAAAAACCAAAATTAAGCAACATGTCAGAAAACAAGTTTAAACTGGAGACATTCTTTTTTTAAAAAGGAACTTGTGATAACAGCATAAAAAGACTGCTGCGGATATAGGTGTCACCATGCATGGAAAAAGCAGATCTTATAAGTTTAGATCAAGACAATGTAGAGAGACCCATAATTTATTTAGATTGGCATACTTATACTTCTTCAATAAAAGAAAGAAAGAAAAACTTCTTCAATAAAAGAAAGAAAGAAAAACTTTAAGGTTTTAGAATAACAATGTCTTTAACTTGTATTAAAAATGAACAAGAGAGATAGTTACTGGATGACCGAAATAACATTTTAAATAATCAAAACTTCTACTTATATTTTGATTACTCAGAATGAAAGGATCAAAAGATTTCAACATTTTCAAACTTCCTTAACTGTTCAAGTACTTATTTAATTCCTGAAACATTAACAAAGATTGGACTCGATTGGATTCCAGATTGTTTTCTCTGGGCTTGAGCCTGACATTAATGAGTTCTGGAAAAATTCTGTTTAAACAGCAAAAGCGGCTCTGAGATTTTTCAGATTTTATTTAAATTATTTTGAAATAGCAAATCAGTTCAGTGGTCATCAGTAGAATATCTGATCTAGTGCAATACTATTTCTGTCACATTTCTATATTCTCCTGGAAAACATTTTCATCTCTATTAATCTTTCAAAGTAGGTGGTACTTATTATTCTCCCAATCCATTAAAAGTAGTCCTCATTTAGAAACTGCCTTGGATAGTGACCATTTGCAAACACAACAGTAATAAATTGTAGTAAACAATAATTTAAAATCATTTCTGGTCACACCCATATTTATGTACCTGTCAACAATACATACTGCAATGAGAGTAATACTGGCATTGCTGCCTAAAACAGTTTTATCTAAATGAGATGAAAACAACTAGAAATCTACGTAATGTCTCTCTCTTTCAGTCACATTTTCACTTAGTGACCATTTCATTGGAACTAATGCTAAAAGTACTTGGTTTCTTTTATTTACATATATGAATAAAAAAGGATCTAATTACCAGGCAAAATTACTTCTGTTCACTCAAGGGGGCTTCTTTGAAGTTCTTCTGTAAGTAGAACCTCACACCTGTGAAGCTACATAAAATTCTTAATCTTTAAATTCTGGGATAGGGGATCATTACTTAGTTTATTACCATTAATGGTAAGAGAAACATAGGAAGAAAAATGTAGGCCATTGAATTCAATCTCTTTCTTAGTGCAGAAATCCAAATTAAACATTAAAGACTGATGCCTATTATGCTTCAAATATTGTGTTTATTTTAAGCTGCACTCATTAAAACTTCAAAGAAATTGTAACGTGCAAAGAGAATGTTAATGAGAATAAACAGGAGATTGGATACATCAATCTTACAATGAGAGACTGAAGGAACTGAATAAGTTTAGCCTTGAGAAGAAGATTGAAGATAACCAGACAGCATATGATAGCACTCTTCAGAAAAAGAAAAGAACCAAATTGCTCTCTATCTCCAAAATTCAGAATATGAAATAATAGTCATTGTTGGGGATACTTTAATTTGGATTTTTACAGAAACGGGGAGTGGAATTTGACTTTGAGATTCTATGATATTTAGTATCTTTGACAGAATCTCTTATCCATTACCACTGGTAGCAGTTTATTATGTATCATTATGCTGGTACCTAAGTTCAATAAAACATAGAATAAAAGAATACAATAAAACAACTATTGATAAAATAATATATTACAATTAATTATAACATATCAGATATAAAATAAGCCTGTTACCTTAAAGGCCCATAACCCTGACATATAATAAATAAGAATAATATGATAACCAATAAATAGTGACCAACAAGGTAGTGACCAATGAAATTTGGGGGAGAGGGCATAACATCGAAAACTTGGTATCCAATCAGATTATGAAATATGCGTATGGCACCAAGAGACACAAGTATGTATCCATAAAAATGTTGACACAGACAAAAGAGGAATTGTTTCTTGGGTACTGCAGAGGTACTGCCTTTGGTTCTAAGACAGAGAAACAGGCCATCCTCAAATCAAAGAAATACACTCCTCCCCCCCAGTCTTGCTCTTTAAAACTGAAGTTTAAGAAATGTTGGAATTTGATACCAGCGTTTAAAGAAAATATTATTAGAACTGGCCAGCTGTTTCTAATGTTGTTCTTTGAAAGTGCTTTTGTGCCTATTCTAGAAGAGCTGAAAACTGGTGAAAAGAGGGAGGGAGTGAGAATTAACAATGGCACCTCCTAAACAACACTTCTCAGAAAACCTAGGCAGAACCTTGCAGACATCATACACTCAAACTCTTTTACAACTTTTTCTGAAATATTGTTTGCTAATTAAAATATCTTGTAAACTATTAACAAAGAAGATTAAACTATGAATGTTGCTTGATATTGCTCTTCTTGTTAATGAAGTTGCAAATGTTTTATAATAAATTGAAATACATAGAAACACATATAAATTATTCAGTTAAACTGCTTTAGGCTACAGTCTTATAGCCTGCAAAGGCTCCAGCCTTGAAGAAAGAAATCTGATTTCCCCTCCTTCCTTAACAGCCTCTTTGGCTGCAATTTTGTGATTTTGTTTCATTGCTGCACACGCTTACCATTGTTGAAAGAAAAATCTTCATCAGGGTCTAGTAGTCCAAGGTGGGAATAAGCAAAATGGACACTGCTTTAGAAAGAAGGTTGTGGTTTATTGAAGAACAGAGCCAGACAGAAAGATGGTTCTGGGAAAGCTGACCACATATTGCTGAGAGTGGTGGGTTTTTATACCGTCTTGAGCTTTTGTTTGGAGTTGTTCCTGTGGCATGAACTTTGACCTGAGTCTGAATGTGCCTTTCTGTTATTCTGATGGTACTGGGTTAATCCTAATGTCCCAAAGGTAATATACTGCTTCCCTGGGGCTATGGTTGATGATTTTTGGATTTTTTGGCGTGAAGGACTGTTGATTCTAGGGATCTTTGTCTTTCTAATCCAAGCTTCCTGTCTCCAAACTTTCTGACAAGATTTTCACATCTGCATTTCTGCAGACCTGGTTTCTGTTTGGGGCAGAGAGACTTGGGGGGAGGGTTCCTGCCTTTAAGATCCTTTGGGGAAATATATTCTGCCTTTTTAGTATTTCCCAAAATATTTATTTCTCTGGATTCTTCCTATACCATGTTAGTTTGTATGTAGGAAGGACTCAAAAACTATTTTGGGGGCATAGTGTAGAGAGATCTAGTGTGAATTACCATCTTTCCTTGCCTTCTCTTACCTCCCTGATACCAAATGAGATATAAATAGCCTAGATATTGATTCAAATTATTTCCTATTCCAGCAGGAATGCTTTTCTATCTTGAAGTGTTAGTCTACTGTCACTGGACAGGCATTTGGATTATTGAACTATTCCAAAGTACTATTAAAATTACTCTGCTGGTAATCTGTTATAATATGCTATAATAGAATTTTGGGATGTTATAGTAAATTAGTTCTAAGTTTTTATTTATTTTTAAAATTGAGTATTCTGCAAATATTAAACTTTTGTATATGTAACTGAAGAAGTATTATAATTTTAATTAAATTCTTTGATTACACTGTGCTATTAGCTAAGAAAACTTTGCAATTTGAAACCACAAATTCTGATGAAATCACATATTTGTCTGATAAAAGGAACTGTAATCCACTTGATATTATAATTGTTAGTTTTTAAAGTAGCACATGACTGTTGTTTTTGTAGCAAAGCACTAACATGGCTACCCTGATGGAAGTTGTTTTAATGGTATGTAAACAAATAAAAAAGCCAAAAAAAAGATGGAGGGGTAATGATATAAACATCTGGTAAACTCTTAATTTTGTACTCATTTTCAGATTGAAGTGAAAGATCTTAAACATAAGGGACTTATGCATCACTTTTAGTTGCATTAATATCTTTACAAATGTAAATGGTAAGCCCAGAACAGGGGACTTTGCCTTATGAATATGAAAAAAATGTAATTTAGCTCTTTTTTACCTTATCAATGTTCCAGTAACAATGTCCTTTCTGACTTCGTGACATTAAGAAGTAGATTCTTTTATTCTCACTGCTATATGTTATACATATTTTCTTCTTCTTCTTCTTCTTCTTGTTTTTCTTTTTCTTTTTCTCCTCCTCCTCCTCCTCCTCCTCCTCCTCCTCCTCCTTCTTCTTCTTCTTCTTCTTCTTCTTCTTCTTCTTCTTCTTCTTCTTCTTCTTCTTCTTCTTCTTCTTCTTCTTCTTCTTCTTCTTCTTCTTCTTCTTCTTCTTCTTCTTCTTCTCTTTTACCATTTTGGGTGTCGAGGGATATACATATATCACATATATATTATATATTGTGTATTTAATTTTTACAGGGTGAAAGAGGCTTGCCAGGTTTACAAGGCTTGGTTGGATTTCCTGGAGTACAAGGACCAGAAGGGCCACCAGGAGCCTCTGGAGCGAAGGTAAAATGAACCTTATGCCAAATATTAACTTGCAGAATGGTACTTGAAATCCTGATAACAATAAACAAACATACTGTTTTTGTATCTTTCTGTAGGGTGATACTGGAGAACCAGGACTACCAGGAACAAAAGGAACTAGAGTAAGTTTACATGAACCATTTTTGCTGCTATACATATGCCAATTGTGTTTTATGTAATAAGCCATAGTAGCCTGGTTTACATAATACTCCAAACCATTAGTCTTGGATTACAAATCATAATAACTGGGCTCACGTAATACACTAGATTATAATCAAATACACTGTAATCTGCATTCTGCTCAGCATATACATACTCTCATTTTTTAAAAGTAGCATTGAGCAAGTTAGTCATTGTTAATTTGTTGTATTTATTACATGGTAATGTGCATGATACTTTGCAGAGCACAATTTGCATGCCCTGAATGTTTATAATTACTTTTTTATCTTCTTGCTAGAATGCTGTTTAATCCACATAAGTAATCAGTGTTAATGCTCAATGATATGAAAATGACAATGAAGTAGCTATTTATACTTAAGTCTTACTAGGCAAAAGTGTCATTTGATCTGTTGTTTGCAAGTAAGAACAAGAAATTATTCAACAGTGTATTAACAATCTAGCTCAAACATTTAAAAAAGAATGAAATATACTCCCATAAAAAAACCTAAGAATGCTTTGGTGGCTTAAATATCTTTTGGAGATTGGGATCTGAAGTTGCTGTTCTCAAGGATTGTCAGAGAGTAACTGCTTCTCTGAGTTCTTAGAAGTTCATGCATGTATCTCAATTGTAACATCTAGCCACCTTGTTTATCAACCTCTGTTTCAATGGCTTTCAATTTTCCTGGCATCAGAAAAAATGATTATGTCTTCTCAAGTGATTCCTTAAAGTGGTAAGATTTTCCATCACTAAGCAATGTCATAAAGCATAACATCACATGACTATGCCTCTTAGCAAAAGCAGTTCCAGCAGTCCCCGATTACAATCATTAAATGAATCACCATTGGTTGTTAAGCAAGTATTCCATGTAACCACGATTTCTGACTTCCTGCTAGCTTCCCAATTCACTTTGCTTGCGGGAAGACTGCAGAGAAGGTGGCAAATCGCAATCATGTGACTGAGGGACAATGCAATGGTTAGAAATCCAGGCCAGTTGCCAAGCACCCGATTCACGATCATGAGACTGTGGGGGCCTGATGATGGCCAGAACTTTAAGGATTGGTTGTAAATACCACTCATTCAGTACCATCCTAAGTTCAAACAGATACTGACTTCTGGATGAGGAAAAAGGCAGATTAGACATTTCTGAAAGTGCAGAGACAACAATGTGGTAATAATGTGACAACAACCAATGGACTGGTAGCAAGCTTGATCCAATAGAACCTCTTTGGACAAGGTGAGGATGAGGGAGCACTGTCATATGTACTGGATGGCAGGATAGGGTTTCTTCCATAGTCTGAGCACTGGGAGACGAAGGAAACCATCAAGCCATTAATTGCAGCAGAGCTTTAAAGAACATTAGATTAGACAAATTTCACATTGTAATCACTTTTGAATCTACAATTAATGTAAAGTTATAAGAGGTCTTTCAAACAACAGGTCTGACCAGACAAATTTGGAGTATTAAAATTTGCTAAGACTTTGAAAAAGTGAGTAAATAAAAGAAGCCAAAAATGGGACAGTAGAGGAGCCTAAAGCTCCAGTCAGGAAAAGGAACAATGAAACTTGCAAAATAACAGACAAAGGCATGACACTTCATTTCAAAGCATCTTTGAGGAACTAGGAGAGAAATCTATAACTAAACAAACAGCAATAATTTCTATACCTGCCAACGTATTTGAAGAAGACTTAAAGAAGTTAAAAATGTCACAGATGAGGAAAAGAAAATCCCCCAAAATATAGAAATGTTGGAAAATAAAGAAACTGTGGATTATAAAACAAAGTTAATAGTTAAAGTGGAATTATGAACGACCATGAAAAACAACCAGGACAAGGACATATTATTGGATTTACAAAAGAAGGTTTCCAGCGTTCTCAAGAAATCTTTGAGATGGGAGAAAGTTTCAATGGGAAATTCAACCCTACAGCACCAATTTGATGAATTAAAGATTAAGACTGTTAAAGGCAAAAGAAAGGAACATAAAGCTTATTTATTTGATCAGTGATAAAATAAGAACAATCTTTATAAAATTCTGGAAACCCTTTATGGTGTCATGGTTCCAGTAGATGAGACCAATTAATAGAACTTCAAGGCAAGGAATTCTTCCTCAAAGAATACTTTATTTGGCTACAAAATAATGGCACATACAAAGGTGAACCCAAGACTAAATTCCCCTCCCCTTGCTTACAAAGTTACAAGTTTCAATTCCCACCCCAATTAGATGACATAAATCATATTCACCAATTGTTAGAAAATGCGGGCACCCCCTCCCAGCTCTCCAGCCTGCCAAAATGTTATCAGTAATGACCTTGGTTCCCATACATGAGAATTTTTTTGGCTAACTTAGAACTACACTCCCTCCCTCCTTCTTTCTAAATATGTGGCAACCAAAAATGAAGTGAAAATAGCTTTAGTTCAGTTCATTGCAGTGTTGACATTCGGCTCCCTTTAAGGAAAGGACAAATCCTGCAATTTAAACAAGAAAAAAAGTTAGGAATCCCCTCTTGGTTTATTTGGATGTTTGCCATAGAATTTGCACATCAATCTATCAGCGTTCACATCAGTACTTTTTACCCAGGTGGCTTCCGATAACGGATATCCCTTCCATGGCACCAAATATTGCAATCTGCCTTTGTATAATCTAGCATCAAGAATGTGTTTTACTTCGTAATGAGTCTCTCCAGCCACCACAAGTGGGCCAGGCGCTTTCTTTTGAGGGGGTCTCAAAGTCGACTCCCTGAAAGGTTTTAATAGACTGCTCTGAAACACTGGGTGGATCCTTCCTAAAAGACGAGGGAGTTTTAATTCTACAGTGACTGGGTTTATGATCCAAACTATAGGAAAGGGTCCCAGTATTTTGGTCCCAATTTTTTGCTAGGTAACTTAAGTCTTAGGTATTTTGTAGAAAGGTAAACCTTTTTCCCCACATGGAATGATTTCTGAGGTGTTCTTTTTTATCAGCTTGTTTTTTTAACCTTCTGAGGCTTTTGTTAAAGCTTTCTTTGTATTATCCCAAACACCCCTCCAAGAAGACACCCACTGATCTAATGTTTGAGAGGTAGGGGCGTCCTGGGGGTATTAAGGCATCGGAATAAAATCCCTCCCAGTGGTTATCTTAAATGATATAAGTCCAGTGCTGCTATGTACTATGTTGTTGTAAGCCACTTCAGCAAAAGGGAGGAGATCAGTCCAGTTTGTCTGTTGGTAATCTACATAGCATCTAAGATACTGCTCCACCATTGCATTCGCTTTTTCAGCTGCTCCATTCATAGAAGGATGAAAAGCCTATGATAGTCCTTGGATGGAACCAGTTAGTTTCAGAAAATCTCTCCAAAATATGGCTGTAAATTGAACTCCCCTGTCTGAAATTATTCATTTTGGTGTGCCATGCAGCTGGCAAATATGCTTAAGGAACAACTTGGCTAGTTTCTGGGCAAATGGGAGGCCAGAGCATGCTATAAAGTGAGCTCGCTTTGAAAAAAGGTCAATTACAGTCCATATTACCATATTTCCCCTACTCTCTGGTAATTCCACAATAAAGTCCACAGCAATCTCCTCCCATGGCTGAGAAGGATCTGCGACAGGCTGTAACAGTCTAGGGGCTTTCCTGGGATTCTCTTCATGGTAGCACAGACTGCACAGCTTTTTACATAGTTATCCACATCTTTCTTTAAGCATGATTACCAAAATTGCCTCCGAATTAAGTGTAGTGTCTTTAAATATCCAAAGTGACCAGCTTGTTTAATGTCATGGCTGCATTGGAGCGCTTGGAGTCTGAGCAATTCAGGCAAATACAATTTTCCCCCTTTCCAAGCTAATCCATCCCTATGAGTCAGGATGGTTTGATTTTCCTTGAGCCATCGGTCATTTTTCAGTTCTTGTTTTAATTTCTTTGTTAATAGGTTGTCTGGGTTAGGTGACTTCATGTGTCATTGTTTCCCAGGTGTTATTTGAGCAACAACTTGAGGTGGTGGCATAATGGAGTCTATGATTTGTTCACATTGGCTTTTATATTGAGGCAGCCTAGAGAGGACATCAGCTAAGACATTTCTTCCATCTGGTATATATTTCAGAGTAAAGTTAAAATGGTTAAAATATTGCGCCCAGCGTACTTGTTTGCGGGATAGTTTACGGGGAATTTTCAATGCCTCTAAGTTTTTGTGATCAGTCCATACTTTAAAAGGCACCTTGCACCCCTCTAGGAAATGACACCAAGTCAATAAGGCCCATCTGATTACAAAAGCTTCCTTTTCCCAAACAGCCCACCTTTGTTCTGTGTCAGTGAGTTTTTTCGAAGTGTAAGCACAGAGTTGTAATTCTCCTTTACGGTTTTTTGTAGTAGCACTGCCCCCACAGCCACATCGCTAGCATCAGCTTGAATAAAAAATTGCTCCTCAGGATGAGGGTGTTTGAGAATTGATTCTGCAGCAAACAGTCTTTTTAAATTCTCAAAAGTGGCTTGGCACTCTAACAACCAGTGTAGGGGTTTACCTGGTCATGGCTTACCATCTTTGCCAGTTTTTAATAGCTCTGTAAGGGGCAAAGCAACCTCAGCAAATGAGGGGATAAATTGGCAGTAGACTTTAGTGAATCCCCAAAAACCTTTGAGTTGTTTCTGAGTTCGTGGGGGCTGCCATTCAATCATGGATTTTACTTTAGCTGGATCCATTTCAATGCCTTCGCTGAAAATTCTGTAACCTAAATAATCCAAACGTGTCTGATGGAACTCACACTTTGAGAGTTTTGTGTATAATTTAGCGTTCAGCAGCTTTTTAAGTACTTCTTGTTCTAAAATTGTTTGCTCTGCCATAGTCTCTTTATAGATTAAGATGTCATCAAGGTAAACCAAAACTTCTTTATATAAATGATCATGTAGCACTTGATTGATCAGCTGCATGAAAACAGCAGGAGCTCCTTGTAATCCAAAAGGCATGACTTTAAACTGAAAACTATCCAGGGGGCTGTTGAAGGCAGTTTTTCATTCATCACCTTTTCTTACTCTAACGCAATATCAGTGACCTGGCTGCCCTCATCTAAAACATTTGATGAGTGGTCCAGCTGACGTCTTTGGAGCTCCAGTAGTCCCAGCAGGTGGGATTCACTGGGGAAGCTGATGCCTCGCTGGATCTGGTCTCGGTCTAGGTCTAGGGGTCGGCAGCTTCCTGTAGTGGCTTAACTCGATGTCTAAATTCACGGCCATGCGATACCACTCATGGAGTTGATCAGGGATCCTCCATTAGATGCATGCCTGGAATAGATCTGGGTCCAATACGGACTTGAAATGATGAACTAGCGATCGCTCAGGCCACTGCACAATTCTGCGAGCCAATCTCCGGAATTCACGCACATATTCATTTGCTGGCTGACTCCTCTGTTTCACCTCATGAATATCTTTTTCAGCTTGCAGGGCTATGGACCCATCCTCAAACCTGGTCCTTAGACCTTGGATAAACAGGTTGTAGTTTCATAGCTCAGGTGATTGCTCATTGTACAAGCCATTCAACCACTCTGCTGCCTCCCCCTCCAAGTTTGCCACTACCACATCGACCATATTGGCAGGGTCTGGATAGGCATTGGCATTCCTGTTCATGTGGAAGCACACTTGATTCAAGAAGAAAGTTAACTTTTCAGGGTTGCCATCAAACATGGGCTTGAAAGGAGGGGCTTCCATGGGTCACTGCCAATCTAAGAGAGCCTGCAGCAACCCATACTGTTGCAATTGATCTCATGGGAGCCCCACTGCTTGGTGAACTCTTGGTAGGGGCCTTGGATTGGTGTGGCATTGGCAATGTTCTGGGCTAAGTCACCAGGGTGCCGATCAGGACTAAGTCTGTAATGATGACAGTCTGGACTGTAATGATGACGATCTGGACTGGCCCGATGTGGCTATCGATCAGAGCTATCTGGGTATTGGTGGTGATTGGGGCTTGCTCTATGCCAATACCTTTCAGGGCTGATCTGGCGCGGGTACCAGTCAGGGCTCACATAGCGATGGTACTGATTGGGGCTAACATACCATTGCTGATGGTCAGGGCTGGCATATGGACTCTTTGCCAATACTTGGCAATGGTGTTTTGGAGGGGAATGTTGTTGGGGTTCAGAATTAAAAAAGCAACATCATGTCATCACAAGTCCTCCCCCTGCTCTATATGTTGGATATTAAAATGAAAGGGCAGAGCTTATGACAGAGTACTGCTTTCATCATTTTATTAAAACTAAAAAAATGGTTGAGAATGTGACTGTTGTTATATGTGTTTCTAGTGATTTAAAGTGTCCCTCATGAATGTTGAGGCAAAACAATTTCTTGATGGTACTATTTACATTCTTTTTATCATTTCCTCAAATCTAGGGGCCCCCTGGTCCAGCAGGCTATCCGGGGAATCCTGGTCTTCCGGTGGGTATAAAACCAAAGTTGCAGTTGAAACACAGTCAAGCTTTATTTCGGTAGGAAATAATCTACTAATCACTGTTTGCTTTTCTGTATACTTTCTGAACCTCAGGGCATCCCTGGAGGAGATGGCCCGCCTGGTCCTCCTGGGATCCCAGGATGCAATGGAACAAAGGTAAACTATTTTTAAAAAGTAGTTTGAAGCTCTTTTTTAAAAAAATCCATGAATTAAAGACATTTTTTTCTCTTCCATTAGGGAGAAAGAGGTCCTCTTGGCCCACCTGGCTTACCTGGCTTACTTGGCAATCTCGTAAGCATTTTAAAATAATTTGTTTTAACTGAAATCAAAACAAGTATAATAAAAAATTGGAAATCGATGGCTCAGTTTGCAATTCAAAATTTAATTGTGGAACTTGGTAATTAAAGCATCTTGCTAGTTTCTTAATTTCTCAGACAATGTTATATTTTTCAGGGACCTCCAGGGCTTCCAGGAATAAAGGTACCGTACATTTTTTAATTAAGAACATACCTATCATTTATTGTTTACATGACATGATATGTGGATCTGGTACATCAACAGAATTCAAAAAACCATTTGTTGCATTGGTCATAGGGGAAAAAAACATCCATAGAAGATTTAAGCATTTGCGCTAACTCAAAATGTCACAGAATAATGAGCAGTCCCTTGTAAAATATTAGCAGTCCTTATGTTGCCCATTCTAAATTTGGAGCTAGGATCCTTTCCATTCTGAGAACAAAGAATCAATTGCCTTATTGGGGTTTTTTTCTTTTTTTGGAAAAATATACTTCATTTCTCTTTTGAGGAAAAATGAGCTATAGAGAACACGCTTTGATTGGAAGTGGGGCCTGATGCAAGTTTCCTGCTTTAAAAAATATCCCCTTTCTCGAGGTTTTTAATGGGCCATTTACCACAAAAGAAGTCATGAGGCAAATATAATGACAGAATAAGAATATGGCTTCATCCAGGCCGAGGAAAGATTCCAGTTTAGACCTCTATATGGGTATCTTTTTTTTTCCACAAAAAAATGGTCAGTTTCTTTCATTATGTCAGACTGCTCCAACCATACTGTAAAATTCCTCTAAAACAAATTCAGTTACAACTTTTCCATTCAATTCACAGGAAGGATTGGAAGAACTATTTAGCTTAGCATTGAGAGGATGGCCCCAAGCAGGCATCTGTTTTTGCTCAGGTTCCATTTAAATATATATCAGATAGGTGGGTCAAGGATCTCACCTGTGGTTGTCATGTAGAATTGCTGAAACACTACAAAGTTCAGTTCTCAAAAGAACAAGGAGAACCACCCTTTTTTTTTAAAAAAAAGGATGCAACTAATGGAACCTGTCAGCTCTCTTTGGCAACCAATAATTTTGTCCCTCTTTTGTACATTTTTAAAATTTACTATCCATCTGAGGGGCAAATAGAAAAAAATATAAAACATAACAATAGCAATAGCAATACCATTTAGACATATATTGGTCCATAGTGCTTTATAGCCCTTTCTAAGCAGTTTACAGAGTCAGCATATTGGCCCCAACAATCTGGGTCCTCATTTTACGGACCTCAAAAGGATGGAAGGCTGAGTTAACCTTGAGGCTCATTAGGACTGAATTCCTGGCTGTAGGCAGAGTCAACCTGCAATACTGCATTCTAACCACTGAGCCACCAGGGCTCTTAAAAAATTCCATGGGACAAAAATAATTGTGTAGCAATTAGATTTCTGTTTTGTCACGCTTTCGGTCTTGTCCATGCATTGCTCTTTTGGTTAAAAGCCACCTTAAAGAACTCAAAAATGTTTTCTTGTTATTTTGCAATATTTTAATGAAATCCTTAAAAACCTTAATATATCATCAAATGTAAAATTTAAAATTAATTATGATTACTGATAATTTAAAGTCCTCAATTTTCATTCAAACAGGTAAAAAGTAGCATCAATACTTTTGTACTGATTGTAATCTATTATTTTTAAATCTGCATCATATAGGGAGATCCAGGAGAAATTATTGGAATCCCATCACATGGTTTGCAAAAGGGTGAGAAAGGATTGCCTGGACATCCTGGATTGCCAGTAAGTTTTATTATAACTAGCAAAGATCACAATTATGATAAATGGTGAGGTGATAAGAGGAGGCAAAGGAGAATCTTGTTATTGCAGAAACCTTAGAGAAGGAACTGACTTGCATTTCTACACACTGTGGACCATCTTTACCTCCCCTTAAGTCCATCAGAAAAACAGAATCCAAATAGTGAAACACCATATGGCCTTTGCAGAAGTGAAGGGGCATAGAAGAATCCACAAAGATAGGAGATATCTTGACTGCCCCTGATCAATTCTGGTATCCTGGATTTAATCTGGAAAGAAATGTTGAAGTCCTGATGGATAATTTAATAGAAATATTCACCAAAGATGTGGCAATTGTGAAAGGGATAATATCAACATTAAAAATTACTAGGAGAGAGCTTGAAATATTTGGTCTGTGATGTGGATACCAATGATTAACATATTGGGCACAATTCTGTTTGCACCATCTTGAAGTAAGTAGTTTAGGGTTGGAATAGATACTGAAGAAAATAATCAGAATTAATTATCTGGTGGTTGAGTACCATTTGTATAAGGAAAAACTAAGATAGTTAAGCCTTTGAATACCACCATTACAGCAATATCAGAGATTATAATGAGACATAAAGGGGAAATGAGCTAAATTTTTGTTTGAGCTTGGCTCCTGAGCCATGTTCAAGTGTAGGAAACTATGACATTATGTAGCAAAGTGGCTAAGAAACTGTGTTACTGACATTATTTCTCAACCTTTTTTTCATACCCAGGGAACACCTGGACTTTCAGGTGTTGCTGGCCCTATTGGACCACCTGGACCTCCTGGAAGACAAGTAAGTGATCAGCTTCAGAGGTTTTAAACTGCATATTGCAAGAATTCATTATTTCAATTAGGTGTTGTCTAAATTTGTCCCCCAAGTATAGGTATGCTAAACATGCATTAGGTTCAGCTAATCAGGTGATTTTAGAGAATTCACCTTTTTTTGAGGCAAAGCAAAATTTCTCCAAATGGACCCAAAAAGAATTAATACTACCCTGAATTTTCAGAACCATTTCAATATTTTAATGGCATACAGATAGGATTATAGGTTTGCAAAAATGTATGTATATGAAAATGCCAAGGCAGGGAAAAAATCAATGTTGACTGAATGACTAGTGTACTATTTGTGCACCGCCCTCAGCCATCCCTCCTTTCCCTTCTTTGCACCAACCTTACACCCAGCCAATGCCATGAGACCTTGGCTTCTAGAGGGAGGGGTAAGCCATGAAGCAGAAGACGGGAGTTCTTGCTAATGCGAAGGTGACCCATTCCACAGCCCCATACAAAGCCCTGCAGAACTGTCATTGAAGCAGGTCCTGTGAAGCAAGAATTGAACCACTTAACCTGCTTAGCTTTGCTTTAGCTTAGCTTGGCTTTCCAAGACAGTCACAAAATGAATCTTTTAGTGGGAACGTGCAGATGGAAGGGTTGAGACAAAATTGTTCACGTTCCTTTCCAATATCTTATTTTTTCCATCAATCTTTATTCCAACAAACTCTTATTCCAATATTGAAAATTTTACGATATTTTATTTTTCATCCTTACCTGCTCCTTCTTGAAGAAACTATTTTCACTTATTCTTTCTGTTATTGTGTCTTATGTCATGTTAGGTCTCTTATCACTCTTCCCCAGCATTAGGTCTTATAATAGGTAAGGTTTCGATTCAAATGCTAATGGCTGCATGGTACTTTAAATGTGATTCTAAAAATGATGCGTTGATGTTCAGGAAGGACAGGCAGAGCATTTGTCTCTAATTCTTCAAAGCAGCCACAATTTTGATGCAGACTTGTACTATGTTTGGATTCCGGCATATTCCAAGGACCCCCATTCAAAATTATTTCTGAAGTACTGCATAGCCCTACTATGTATCAGTATTGCAAGTATGATGTTCTGTGTGGTGTGCAGGTCTTCATAGAGTGTGTAAGTTGCAAATTATATCCTATATTATGATATATTGTGCACTCAAGCCAATCCCTAATTATGAAACAACATGATGGCAAAGAGAGAGGAGAAGGGGAAAGCTGCTGCCGCTGCACTGCCAATATCCCAATTCCCACTCCTCAGAAATTATTAAATGGCTTTTGCAGGTAAAAGCAGACTCAGCAGCTTTAGATCATCATTGAATTGCTGCTAGTGAGACTGTGCTCTTAAACAATCACATCTCTGGGATGGGTCCGATGAAGAATTACATTAATAGCCTGAATTGCTCCCACAGAAGAAGAAAATGCAGTATTTGTGGAGAATAAGGGAGGAGCAAATAGGTATGAGAAACAGCAGCTAGACTCTCAAAAATCCCCCTATTTCTATATTGGTGATTGTCCCAGGTTGAAATAGCGCATCTGGATTACATAAAAAAGACAAACTAGGGTGGTAGAAGAACTGAGCTAAGTTACCCACTATATAGCAAGAAAGAGCTGAAGAGAGAAGAAGCCCAGGAATTATATTGTCAGACGTTTGTGTCTGCATTTGAAAAAGCAGCAATAGGTCCTGCTATGGGAAATGCCATAAGGCAGCAAACACAAAACTGGCTTAGCGTGACAGAGTATGTCTACTTCTCAGCTTCTCCAAGATAGTCATAATAAGGTAAGAGGAGTACAATATGGGACTGTTTCATTAGGTCTAAACCAGATGTAAAAATTATAAAAGTAAGCTACAAGTTTGTAAAGTATCCAGAATTACTGAGGCAGGAAAGCAACATGATCCAATACATCAAGTCGTCATCTTCAGGCTGGGGTCTTCGGCTTCGTGCTTCGTAAATATATATATATATATATAGGGAGTTCAGACAGATTGGTCTGATTGTGAACACCTTGACATTTTCAACTGCCATACTGCAGTTTACTCTTTTTACAATATCTCTTGCCTTGCCGCCCCCAACTAGGGGCATAGAGCAGGCTCAAGTCGCAACTGCGAAACATTTTTATATCCAAATTTCTTTTTTCTGACAAAGAGTAAAGAATTAAATTGGGAGACTAAGATGGACCATTTCTGGCTTTTTTGCCTTCATCAGTTAGCCATAAAGAATCCCATAAAGGGTATGGCTAACTGATGAAGGCAAAAAAGCCAGCTTGCACATTAAGCAGCTGTGTTAACCTCTAGGCCACAGGCTCTTTCTCACTTTGTCAGCTGTGTCAGGGAGGGAAGAGACAGGGGAGGAGAATTACCTTGAGTGTTTTTTTTGATGCACCCTGTCAGCCCAAATATGGGAGAAAGAAATCTTTTGCCTGTATCAGCTCAAACTAGAGCCATCCACAGGCAGCAGTCGCAACTGCGACATCATTTATATTTTTTTAAAATTTGGATTGCTAACAAAGAATTAAGGGAGAATGGAATAACTATTTTGAGCTTTTTAGCTCTCATCAGCCAAACATACCCTTCTGAGATTCGAACCTGGGCAGCTTGCACATTAAGCAGCTGTGTTAACCTCTAGGCCACAGGCTCTAGAATTATATATATATAATTCTTAATATTTAGCAAACAGCATGTTGTCTGGGTTCATGTATTTAAAAAACAATGAATAATAATTATTATAAACAATATGTTACTTAATCGCTCAGTAGTCTTCTTCTTACTTGTATATATTCAATGTTACATATCACATTCCTTTCTCTCTAACTCATTTTTCTAGCCATTGATAAAAAATATCCCATGTTCTAAAATACACTGAATCTTCTTTCTCTTTTATCTTTAAAGTCAATCTGTCAGAACCCATATTGTTTAAGGGGCTCTTTCTAATTCTATTTCTTCTATTTTTCTGGGTTCTGCCATACTCCTGGAAGGGAGGGGGGAAGACACTGCGGGCTGCCTCTTTGTTTTTCTCTATCGCTACAATGTAACTCTTTTGCTGTCTCTGAATACTTGCTGTTTGAATTGTCCTCCCTTGATGTCAGCTTGAAGTGGGGGAGAAAGGAATGTGCCTCCGGCCATCTGGCTTATCTCCTGTTTCGGAAGGGAAGGTGTGAAGACCTAATAAACATCGCTACAAGCCTGAGACAGACTGGCATTATCAGCTCTTTCCCACAACAGACTTAACACCTGGGGATTGGCCCATTTGAATTGACTGGATGAACTATTGGGGTGGGGTTTGCTTGGGGCTCTTTTAACCTATTGATCTGAGTGGGAAATCCTCAGATCCTGTCTAGTGTGCCTGCTATCAGCTTTTCCTAATAAAAGTTCCTTTTGGAAGAAACTGCTTCCATGAGTTCTGCTTTCTTAGGATGAGGTTTTGAAGTGGGCCCTGACATTATCTATCCATTTCTGCACACTCTAACATTTTCTTAATTAGTTCTTCTTCAGTTTGTAAATTTCCATTTTTCCAATATTGGGCAAATACAATTCTTGCTGCAGTTAATACATGTAAAGTTAAATATATACAGTCTTTCTCATAATTTGCTCCTATTATTCCTAACAAAAATAATTCTGGCTTAAAATCTATTTGTTTTTTAGTCATTTTTTTCAACCATAAGTGTATTTTTGACCAAAATCTTTTAGCTTTAGGGCATGTCCACCAGATATGATAATAAGTACCTGGCTTTTGTTTGCATTTCCAACACTTGTTTGAAGTATTTTTAATATTTTTTGCTAATCTAACTGGGGTTAAATGTCATCTGTAAAACATTTTATATAAGTTTTCTTTATATGCCACTGCTTTCATTAATGTAGCATTTCTTTCCCATAATCTTTGCAGATTTTCTAATTCTATATTATGTCCAAAGTTCTTTGCCCACGTTATCATTGTTTCTTTGACTTGTTCCTCCTCCATCTTTAAACTTAACAGATATTTATAAAGTTTCTTAATCAGTTTTTTGTCTGTTTTTAGCAATATCTGGTCGAATTCTGTCTGTTCTTTGTAAAATCCCATTGTTTTAGCATCTTTTTCATAACTTGTTTGGATTTGCAAAGATGGCCACCATGATAGATCAATGGCTTATTCTTATAAATCTTGTCTGTCTTTCAATTTCCCATCATTGTCCAAAATATCTTTATAGGTCACAACTTTGTCGTAATTAATTAAATTTGGGTAAGCAAATGCTTCCATTGTTGAAAGCCATCCAGGTATCTTGATATAAATTTTTGCTTTTATTTTTTCCCATTCTAAAAGAAGTGCATTTCTTATAAAGTGGTTTTGAAAGTATCTATGGATTTTATTCTTCCCATACCACAGAAAGGCATGCCCCTCTAGGTATAATAGTATTTTATCTCTGAGAATTATCTTTAAGCCATGTTAATATAGTTACTTGGTAGTATAACATCCAATCCGGCAGTCCAAATCCTCCACTTTCTTTCGCTTGTTGTAACATTTTCAGTCTGATTCTAGCTTTTTTTTCTTGCCAGATAAATTTCAGTATTGTTGTATTTAGTTCATCAAAAAAGGCTTTTCCCAGACTTACAGGTATCGTTTGGAATAGAAAGAGTATTTTTGGTAAGATATTCATTTTCACTGTTGCTATTCTCCCCAGCATTGAAAGTTGTAAATTTTTCCACTTTTCCAAATCCAATTGTATTTGTTTTAGCAATCTTGCATAATTGTCTTCTTTTATTGTTGCACATCTTGCTGTGAAATAAATTCCCAAATATTTAACTTTTTTAACTATTTGAAGATTTGGGGTTTTTTGCTAGTTGGTTTTTTTCTGTTAGATTTTTAGTTAGCACTTTAGTCTTTTCTCTGTTTATTTTCAACCCTGCCACTTCTCCAAATTTTTCTATTTTCTCCATAAGTTTGGTGCTTTTTTCAAGTGGTTCTTCCACTATAAAAACCAAGTCATCTGCAAATTTATCTTTTATCTCCAGTAA